AAGATTAGATGATTTTTGTGACCTGTGGCTCATATGAACGCCAAATTCTGTACTATTTAATTTTGTTGCTTTGGGTTTTAATAATTGCAATACATTTCCATTTGTTTTTCTTCCCCTAGTAGAGGAACCTCTCCTTAGCAAACTCACTGTATCAAATGCTACCTCAGAGAGCATGTCACTCGCGTGGGAAGCACAGGACAATGCCTTTGACCATTTTATTCTAGAAGTCAGAAACTCTGACTTCCCTTTGGACTCCCTTGTGCACACAGTGCCAGGGGCTTCCCGGCGCTATGTAGTCACCAAACTCAAAGCTGCCACTAATTACACTGTCCAACTCCATGGTGTAATTGATGGGCAAGGTGGTCAGACCTTGACAGCACTGGCAACCACAGGTATTTCATTGTTTCACTTTCCAGGTTTGCCTTTTTTCTCTTCTTGCTTTTGCTGTCCACTGAACTGCTCTAAAACGTGGCTCCAACTCATCATCGTTCCTTTGGTGAATTCTAGGGACATCACTATGAGGGGAGGCAGAAATACACTGGGCTTGAGAGCGCTTGGGTAAAGAGAGATCTGAGACAATGGAAAAGGCTGAAAAAGTGTCCCCAGCATTAAGGGAGGCAGCAGTAAACCATGATTGGTTTCTTTATATATACACTTATCTGCAAGTTCTGTGTATATATAATTGACTTGCTCCAGATGGTTGATTTTTTTCACAGAGTTTCTTTGCACTTGATCTGGAATAAAGTTCTTGTTCATCCCATCCTCACTTGCTTTGTTGTGGGTGAGAGGCTTTCATGACTTTATCAGCCTGAAGAGGCACCTGCATGCCATTTTGATTCTTTGTTCTTAAAACCAATTGTCTTCCAAGATATTTGCATCTCTTGTGGGAGTTTCATGAAGCATGCTAAATGAGAAACCAAAACCGCATGGAGTAGTATGGCCACTTTGTGCTGGTTCTGATCTTCTCCGTCTAGTATTTTTATGTGTTCCCAGCAGAGAGCAGGGCTCAAAAAACTAGTTCACCCTTTCTTGATGGTCAGGCCACCACTCTATCACTTGCATTGCTACCTTTGAGTATCTAAGACCTGTCTTGTTTCACTGGATGTCAGAGCTTTTCCTGTGGTGATAGTGATTCCAGGATGGCAGGAGATCACTAAGACTTGCCTGAAGAGATAATTTGAACTTCCTTTGCATGTAGTGTTCTTTGGAGTCTGGGTGTCATGATGAAAATGTGCCTGACTGGATGCAAACGGCATGTAAAGGAATGTGGTCATTTCAGGATGAGATTGGAAAGGATCAGTTTGTACTCCCTGACCTGCATGCAGGGCTGATGGCTCCATGTTCAGTTTCACTGGGTTCTCAACCCAAGCCTGTTTGCTTTGTGGATATCCTCCCACCTCTTCCCTTGTCTTCATAAGTACCATGCTTACATGGTGACATCTTTACTGTCAGCCATGAAGGCATTGATGGTCACTGGTTGACAGCATGACATCAGCATGTGTCCTTAATTGGGGCCACTTGGATTCACCTGTTCCTAAACAATTCCAAAGAAGAAGGTAGACTATTATTTAAAAGTCTTGCAATGAGGGACGGGAGTAAAAGTTGGAACATCTTGCAGCAGTTCATGTTTTATTCAAGAAAAGGATTTCATTCTTTCACTGTTCTCTTTGTCAGTGGGATACATCTTTCTTACTTTCCTCCCAGCATGAATCACTTACAGTTATTTTCCTGTATCTCACTGACTACATTTCCCAAGGTGTTCTTGGTTTTATACTCAATTGGCAAGATTAAAACTAGAAAATCAACTCTAAGAGCAGACAGGATTCCCTGACCACCTGACTGCTGGGTCATGTTTGTGCTCTCTCTGTGCTCTAATGAATCTTTAATGATTTTATGCTAAGTGGAATAGCTTTAAAACAAGACAGCTAAGGAGCTCTTGCTCTCCTGTAGCCTGAAGGCCAAGTTTCTCCCCTGGCAACTCCCCTGGCAGGGGAGAGATGTGATTTTGAATTTCCTCTAGCAGAAAAGGAAAGTCTTTGTTTCTTAAGGAAGTGCCCTGACTACTGAACAGTCAGAAAGGAGAGCAACAGCAGTGCTGTGGGGTTTTTTTGTTCAATCTATTAGATATTTTCTGATTGTTCCTAATCAGAGGATGAGGAACACCTTATCTGTGGAGTCCAGGGAGGTTTTGGCCTGAGATTACTGCTGAGATAATAACTATATAGGATTGAAAACCTTCATAAACTTCAGAGTCCAAACATAAAAGTATCTACTATTCCAGGCAACAGAAACACTAAACAGAAGCTGAACTGGGATGTCAAGGATGTCTGTTGTGGACTCACCTAATTCCTGCCTGAATCTTACTTTATCTACTTTGGAATTGCTGTGGGTTTGTATTCCCATCAAATTCCAAGTGCAGAGTTCCTGCAATTTATATGGTTTTACCACAGGACTGTACGCTGTTGGTGCTTCTGTAAATCAGGCCCACATTTAATTAGGAAAATTGAGTTTATTTAAGAAACTGGAATGAAAAAAAAAATTAAAAGTCAGCACTAATTTCAATGGCTGCTTTCCAAAACCTTACAAAATAGCTCTTGAAATGCTCCTCTTTTTTTTTTTTCTTTCTTCAATCAGTCACTGCAAAACAAGGCTAGAACATTCAGCCTTAACTTTAAGCATCTACAAACCTCCACTGCTAATTCCCCCAGCCCTTTGGAGTAATGCTGTCTCTTCACCTGTGTTCCTTTCTCCTTCAGAGGCTGAGCCACAGCTGGGCACGCTCACACTCACAAACGTTACCCCCGACAGCTTCAACCTCTCATGGACCACAAGAGATGGGCCTTTTGCCAAGTTTGTTATACACATTAGAGATTCCCATGCAGCACAGGAACCCCAGGAGATTACGGTGTCGGGAGGTGCTCGCAGCGCTCACATCTCAGGCCTGCTAGAATACACTGGCTATGACATTAACGTTAAGGGGACCACAAATGCAGGTGTTAACACAGAGCCCCTCACTGCTTTTGTCATGACAGGTACCTGTTTAAAGGTCTGCAGTCTATTTATTGGCTTTATCAAAATATTTATTCCAGCATAGATAAAAAAACTCTCTACAGCACTGAATATCTTGTCCAGCAACAATGATTTTTGTTTGGAAACTTAGTGCAAGGATGGGTCAGACCAGTGAGGTTGACCTTAAAAAATTTTTTTAGGAGGAATACTAAAGTGAGTTAAGAGCCCTCCGGAGTCTTTCTCCCATGTCTAATAATCTTTTTTAACTCCTGAAGTTTGGGGGGGAAATTTACCTAATACTCAGTTATTGGATCTGGAGAGGGCTGAATTTTAGAACATCCCCTGTCCTGTGATGTCCCCTCAACACATCCCTTACTTCTGAATATTTTGGCTGGATTTTGACTGGGATCAGTTGTACATCACATGCCTCCTAGATGATCTTATAAATACCACAGAATTCATCTTGTATTAGGTGGCCAGTATGTGCTACTAGGACTTGTCACAGACTTATGGACACCCTAAGTAGGGTTAATGGAGAAACTGAAGCCTTTTCCTTTCTCTACTCTCTTCATTAACATGCAGTGGGAACACCAGTTGAAGTAGCAGCATCCCTCCAGCATCTGGACTGTCAGTCTGTGAAAATCAATGTCCCTCAGCATTTCCTTTAAAACAAATGGTTGCATTTCGCACCAGCCACCGATGACATTCAGTCACATAATCAGAAATGAGCAACTTTGCTTTCCAAACCCCTGTTCTTTTGCTCCATCAGAGCACAAATGCTTCCTTTCTAAAAATAAACCATGGACACGGGTATTTTGAGAGGAAGCTTCCCACAGCTAGGTAAACCCAGCAGAAAGATGTGCCAGCATTTCACATACACCTGATGGATCTAGAATGTTGGTGTCACTCAACACCCATCCCAGGAAAAATAATTTCAGCATTTGGAGCTCTTAATTTGTTTACCCACCCTCCCAGAGACCAAACCAAATGTCAGTCTTTGATGTTGCTTGATTAGAAGCAAGTAAGTTGCAAAAAATATCTCCAAATTGAGTAAATTCGAGCTGAATTGCTGGCACTCAAATGTGTAAACATCAAAACATAAGGATTTCCAAATTATAAAACTTTAGGAGGGAACTTTTATGCTAAATTCTAACAGAAGATCAACTTTGGCTGTTGTGAAATGTCAAAACCAACCCCAAAACCCTTTTCCAGAGAAAGTTCTGAGTTTAACTAACTGATACTTTCTTAAGTGAATGGAATTGGAGTGATTGGAAGATTAGATGAGTCAGCTCCTGAGCCAACAAAGCGAGGTTTGTCAAATAGTTTAGACAAAAACTAGCAATGCCAGAGATCCAGGATCGAGGCCAAGGCTTAACAGAGCCAGTTGATCTGCATATTTGACCTGTCAGATTTTGAGTGAGCAAAAATACACTGAGAAACCATCTTGTGAAAATTTGACCCCCCTTTTTTTTTCAGAGACTTGGTGAGAAAATTTTGAGGAGTTGATCCACGGCCTCTACAATGTTGATAGATGTCATGGTCATGTGAAAAAAAAAGACCCTTCACAGGAATTTCTTTAAGTTGTCAACATACCACCACGCCTGTGAAGCTCTTTGGACAGATTATTGCTCTGTTCTGCAGTCATTAGCCACTGCAGACTCAGCCTTGTCTCTTATCCCCTCCAAAAATAATCTTGCCAAGTGTACTTACACTGGCTATGACCCCGCCTGATCAATGTCCTGTTTCTGGCAGTCCTTCTGCCATCTCTGACCCCTCCACCACTGAAAAGAAAAGCTGGAGATATTCATGTGAAGTAGAGAGTTAAAGAAGCAAAATACAGGAATTGTGAATGCCAAAGTTGAGGCTTTTCCCTAAAGCACTGATGGTGGACACAAGTGGAAGGAAATGAAAGCTTTATGCAGAGCATTTCTAAACCAGTTTTGGTTATAACTGTTTTACAGTGCATGTGTAACAGAAGAAACATTCTTACACAGTGAGCTTGGAAGGAATTTCAATGGAGCTTGTGAGATGAGGTGCTGAGACACCTGAAAATTAAGAATTGAGTATCTAACTTCTGGAGACTCCATTGAAAATCCTAGTCTTGTGGTCCTGGCTATGCACTTCTATTAAATCCATACTTTGGGAGAAAATGTAATTTATGTTTGGTGGAATCTGTGACACTTTCTAATTTACAATGTTTTTCGCTTCTTTTTTTTTGTGTGTGTGTTTTTGCACCTTCCCTTCTTTTAGAGGCCATGCCCCCACTGGAAAACCTAACTGTCTCTGATATGAACCCTTATGGGTTCACAGTGTCGTGGATGGCATCGGAGAATGCCTTTGACAACTTTCTAGTAGTCGTGGTGGATTCTGGCAAGCTGCTGGACCCACAGGAGTTCCTCCTTACGGGAGCCCAGCGGCAACTGAAGCTTAAAGGCCTTATTACTGGCATTGGCTATGAGGTTATGCTTTATGGTTTTGCCAAGGGGCATCAAACAAAGCCCCTAAGCACTGTGGCTGTTACAGGTATTTTAATGTGAACATATTCTCCTCTTACACCCTTTCTTTCTGACTTTTCTTCTCACATGGAAGATGTTTTATGCAATCCATTTGCAAAGCAAACCTTGGCTTTTGCATCCTTTTCTGCATCGTGGCTACACATAACTCCTCCTGATTTATGTAGGTTCACCAATGAAATTCTGTTCCTTTTAATGGGATGTTTTCCTTTTTTCTTTATGAGGGGTCCTGTAGAGGCGCATGACATGGGTTGAGGGGTGAAAGTTTCTGGTATGGTCATGCAGGTACTTCTAACCAAAATCTTTAAAGAAAAATGGCTGCATGTGGGAGCTCATCTTATTAACAGCTGCTGGGCATATCAGCATTCTCCAACTTGCCAATCAAGAAGACCTTCAGGAGGATTCATACTGGATTTCTTGCCCATGGTCTCCTTTCACTTTCTGTGTGGGTTCCACCCACAGACCATCCAGTGTTATCATTGCAAACCATAAAGTTGATATCTCTTTCCAGAAAGCCTTAGCTCATGTTTTCAACCCTATCATAACTGTCATTTTCCAGCAGCACTTGAGCTTTCTTAGAAAATTACTGCAGACTGATTCTCTAGTCCCACATAGCCATCAAGTCTCATTTGCATATTGCTGACTATGCAGCAGTAAAGCTGCTGGTTAGCTGATTGGAGATTCATGAGAAAATAAATAGGAATGTCTTTCTGTGGAAGAAAGAAGTGCATTGGAGATGCTGTAAGACAGTAACCACTCCAGTAGCATTTCTCTAGGTAATGAAGCCTGACCATACTGAGCTAAAGATGTTTTACAGGTAATAACTTACAGCTCTGGAGATCCCCTTGAAAGGGTTTTTTCACTAATGACAGTAGGTCTTGCGTTTGGATTTAAGTGTGCTCTTTAAGGGATATGACTTTTCATTATGCCCCTTTGCTGCTTTTAAATATCAAAGTACAGAATTCAACTGACCAGAAGCATCACAGGTGCCAGAAGTGCATGAAATAAGGGGTTTGCATGAAGAAAAAGACACTTTCAAGTGGCTTCCATGTTGTCCTCCTAACAGAGAGACCTGACAATATTACAGGCATGCTTGCAGTTCTATAACAAGAGATTGTTTTTATCCTACATAAAGGTTTTGCATAGGAAGCAAGGGAGAAATGCACAGGAAACTTATTATTAGCATGTGTAACTTTGCATGTCAGAGGCAAGTGGTGTATGTCCATGCAGTGGATTTGCTGTTAAAGAGTGAAAGTTTGAATGGGCCTGCACACACTCACATATATCTTCCTCAGTATGTGTATAATGTTAATATTCTTTTCTTCTTTTTATTTTTTAATAGCTGGCAGATTGTTTCCCTTTCCTTGAACTGTGGTTGGATTCTTACAGTATGCTATACACAGACCTCAGGCAGGTCTCTGAAGAACTGATTAAAGAATTCATTTCTTTTCCCTACTGCTATCTTCTCCCTTTTTTTAGAAGCAGAACCCGAGGTCGACAACCTTCTGGTTTCAGATGCTACTCCAGATGGATTCCGGCTCTCCTGGACTGCAGATGATGGGGTTTTCGACAGTTTTGTTCTAAAAATCAGGGATACCAAAAGGAAATCTGATCCACTGGAACTAATAGTGCCAGGTCACGAGCGCACCCAGGATATAACAGGGCTGAAAGAGGGCACTGAATATGAAATTGAGCTCTATGGACTTAGCAGTGGACGGCGTTCCCAGCCCGTAAATGCAGTAGCAACCACAGGTATTGTCTTTGCAGTAGGAAAAGTGTAACATGTTCATTCCTGTTTCTTTCAGCATCTTTCCTTTTCATAGGCAGCTTGGCCTGTTGCTCAGGTGTTCAAACTGTCTCCTGCATGTCCCTTATCCAAGGGGATGTCTTACAGCATCTCCAATGCTGTTACTGGTTCAATGGGGTATAATCAACCATCTCAGATTCCTTAACTTCATCCCTCTCTATTTAATGTTGTTTTACTCAATTACTGTCATGATCTGGAATTAGGCAGCAGAGTCTAGCAATTAAAGTTCTGGCTTTGAAAGCCAAGAAATATTGTCTCTGGATCAACCTTATTCAGTGATTTCCTGGCACTAATTACATATCACTGCTCCACAACAATTTACCTCCCTAGAAAAGAAATATGACAAAAATAATTTACCTGAGCTACTGATAAGTTTATTTATAGTTTGATCAGCAAAGGATTGAGCACCATTAACTTAGACTGATGTTACCAGGAGCAACATGTGGTCGGTAATTCAAAGTAAACTTGAGTTTCTTGCAAAACCAAAGCTTTGAACTCCCTCAGAAGATGTTGTTTTATGTTCTCATTCTTGTGAATGAGAATCCTGATGTAAATTAGCTTAGTGACTTACCTAGGTAAAGTCATCCAGAAGAAAACATGCAGCTATGACTGCCAATTTAAGTCATTTTGTTTTAAAAATACCAAGTCCTTAACCCTCAATTGCAGCACTCCAATTCCACAAAGCTGGAGTTCTTGCCTTTCATAGTCACACTAATCAAAAAGCTTTGTAAACGTAACTGCAAATATCTGCTGTCTGAATTTAACCTAAACCTATAGCTGTTTCTGAAAAATCTCCCCCAGAACAGAGCCTCATTTTCCCAGTGCCAGGTAAAAAAAGGAAGTTTTTGTAGTTTGTGACTAGAATATTTTTTTCTTATATTATTCTTGTATGAAAATAAACAGCTATTAGTCAAGTAAAAAGTTCTCATGGCTTCGGTAGAATTCCTGAGTTTATTTTAAACAAAAATGGTTTAGAATTTGAGGCATTTCATTTTTGGCATTTTTGAATTAATCTTTTCAATTCTTTTCCACCAAAATCATGGTTTCATTTTGAAACATACTTAAATCTAAATCAAATGAATCAATGTCTTGTGACCCAAATGCTCTCTTTTAAAAAGTTTGAGCTTTCTGATAAAAAGCTATAATAATTTCAAATGAATCTAATTCTGAGAGGAGGAGTACAAGAAAGGGACAGGTAAGTTCAGTGTGGGAGGAAGCCAGCAGAAATGCATTAAAAAGGCATTTACTCAGCTGTAGCAGTGCACTCCAGACAATGCATAGAAAAGGGACAACAATAATTCAGTATTGAACAGCTTTTCCTGAAATAGCACAGCCTCATGATTCACCCTCATGTCTGTGGTGCCAGTTGTTAGCATGGAAAGGCACATTTCTGACCAGTTCCAGTGACTGCCATCACATCTCTTGAATAAACAGTGAAGACATATATACACTCACCCAGACATTTACATGAAGCAGAACATGCATCCATCACAAGCCACCTTCCTCCAGGCTCATGTGGGTTGACTCATAATGGAGAGAGGTGTTTAAAGTCAACTGCACTTGTTAGCAGCATGTCCCCATTTTCACTGACTTCCAGGATATTTATGGTAGACAACTAAGAGTTATCATTTTCTTCATGACTACATTCTTATTCAGTTCTTTCAGGGAAATTTAGCACATGTCACCTACTGAAGCCAATAGCCCAAAAGAGGTTCATCAGATATAAATAGCCCATGGATAATTTTTAACAGAGCTGGAGCCACAAAAATACAGCTAAATAATTTGGATTGCAGGTTGCACCACATTGGGCAGTTGGGGCCACCAAGGCATCTCACCAGTTTCTTTTTTAGGAGTTGATTATTAGATGAGATATGTATATTTATAGCCTTTCCAGTCTGGTTGCAAAGAAACATTTCTATCCCTGAAGGGGGTAGCTCAGGCTTATATTGAGCCTTGTTTTATTCTGGTCTGTGTACAAGATCCAAGTGAGCAAGGAATAAATTAGCTAGACAGTTTTTAATTTTAGTAGAGGAGACTGTAAAATAAGAGTTGGAACAAAGTTAGCAAACAGACCAGCAAACCTAAACCAAACCCTACCATGGAAATGATGGCAGGAAAATAATCTAGACTGAAAATCCTCCTCTGTGTTTATCACTCATAGCTTCCCACTTCTTTCCTACCTGGGCACGTACCCTTGTATACACAAATGCAGTCTTCAGGGATCAGGTCTACAAATGGTGGAATCAGAGCAGTTGGATGAATCTGGTTTAAGCATTGCCAAGCAATCTTCTCTGAGGGTCTGACCTCTTCTCTTTGTACAGCAAACCACCTGCTGAAAGGAAGGAAGGTGAGACTTAACATCCTTGGTAGGAAGTGTGTGTCTCATGCTGCTACTTTCTTTTTCTAATGGTGTTTTGCCACACTGTGACAGCATTTTTCATCTGAGAAGATCACCGTGCACTTCACGTGCTCTTTATACATGATAAATGCAACCTGATGCTTCCCATTGCTTAGGAGAAAAGAGCCAGTGAACAAACTCCTGTAGTCTGTTAGGAATCAAAGAACAATTTTTTAGCAAAAAAAAATCCCGCAAATTAGCAGCTACTCAGGTATCATGGGTGCTTTATCAATCTCACCAGAAAGTTCTTAGTCTCTCATAAAACTAACGGGGAATGATGCTGGAAGATACTGCTAATTACCTGTATCTGCCCAACAGATGAACTGAGGTTTCTTATGAGTGACAAGATAGAAGCATGTTGGCTGGTTTTTATGCCTGCTTAATTTTGGCTTTCAGGTAGCTCAAGAAGATGGTTTCATTTGCTTCTTTTTAATTTCCCTCTGCTCAAAGGTACCACTTTTACATTTCTAGGACTCGTTCCAGGACTGATGCTTGCTCTGATGGTCCGTTACACTTTCTTTGCCAGGTTTACTCCCAGGAAAGTAGCTGCAGTTGGGGTAGTTGGGGATGTGGGACTCTCACATAGTCAAGGCTCTTACTACTGTTTGTTAAGGAGCAGTTCACCTGGTACAGAAAACAAGCATGAAGCCCATGGAAGTGTGCACAACAGAGTCCAAGTGGGGTGGATCAGGCACTTTATTTTCTGGGGAAGGCTGAAATTCCCTGTGTGTATGGAAACCAAGTGCTTCTCCATCTCTCTGTTCTCCAGAGTCATCACTAGCGCTTTTCAGTAACTAAGAGCATCTACAATATGAAGCAAAATCAAAATGATTTCCACTTCTCTTACTTTCCCAGGTTTTCTTTATTCTCTTCTGTTTCCTTCAGACCGTGCCTAATTCAGTAGTAACTTTGTGTACCATGTAGCTTTAATAATCACACCTTGCTTTCTCCATTATCTTTCTTTTCTTTGGCTTTTCCATGTCAGCAAACCCCACAAATACAACACGTCTAGTGAGCTCCAGAGAAATAATTTACATTTCCCTTGAGAGCTCAGTTGTTTTTCTTTTCTTGCCTTTCAGTTGATTTAGTGCATTGCTACTAGAGCTTTGGGGACACATGGAACAAACAGCCCTCTAACTTCTTTCCTGCAGACACGTTCTTTCCAAGCTATTTCAAGCACAGTAACTTTTTTTTCTTCTCTTGCCCCCCTCCCCTCCTCTCAGCCTGTCTCCACCGCTCTTAATGTGGCTGATGTTTGGTATCTCTCCTCTTTGTGCTAATGGTCTACTCTGTGTGGGCTGTTTATTTTTTTAACACGTGTCAGGGTTGTTTTGGTTACAGTTAAAAAAGCAAATTGGAAGTGAGATGCTCAATGTAAACTTTGAAGTGGCAGGTCTCTTTACCATGTCCTTCCAGAAGCCCTTTCCATGCTTGTTTTGCAGTAGTATAATTAAGCCTTAAACTGGAATGTTTCAGATACATGTTGGTTTGCATCTTAAGATTGGGTCATTTTGGCAAAACTTGGGCTTTGTTTGCCCAGCTTATTGATCTAATTTATATGGGCAAACGTAGATCTCAGGTTTATACAGGGAAAGGCTGGGTTGTGTGACAAAGAGCTACAGTGGAACCACAAGTGCCTTCCTCATGATAGTTGTGCTTGGATGTCCTCTGGGTGGATGTGCTTGAACATACTTAAGAAAAATCATAGTCTCAGTTAAAGATTCCAAGAAGACAATCTTATTGCTTCTAGATTGAAGCCAACAAAAGTTATAGGCAATTAGTGCTTGAGAGGATAGACCCCTGATGAACTCATGCGACTGAGTCCAGGTCTTTTTTAGGCAGCCTATAGTAGAAACTTGAGGGTCAGAAAGAGAGATCTCTTCTCTGCTAAGGGCTGACATTGCTGTGTGTCACAGGACTGTGAGACTCAATGGAAAGTCTAAAAATCATCCAAGTGAGACTGGGGTAGAAAAAGCTATCAATACAATTACTAGTAGAATAATATAATAGAATTACTAGAAATAGTAATGGGATGGCATTCCTGTAAGTATTCCTCCATACTTTTCTGTGACACTGAAATCTCGGTTACTTCTGCGTACATGATATGTAGATCTATGTCTGGGGTATTTTAAGCTACACACTGCTGTAATGTTGCTGAAAAAGGAAAATTTAGACCAAATAGATTGTTGCTGTTGGTATGTAATAAAACCATTAACTGTTTGTGACTCCCTACATTAGTGTTGTTTAGGACAGAGTATCGACAGCATCAGCTCTTGAGATAGAGGGGTAAGACAAACCAGTGTTCTGGCACTGGGTACTGATAAACAAATTATTTACCTTTTCTTTCTATGCGGTGTGTTTGTTCTCTATTCTCCATTGACAGTTGTTGGATCTCCCAAGGGAATTTCTTTCTCTGACATCACGGAAAACTCCGCTACAGTCAGCTGGACACCCCCTCGCACCCGTGTGGAGAGCTACCGGATCTCCTATGTCCCTGTCACAGGAGGTGAGTAACTGCAAGGAGGGACAGGGAGGAAGATTGTAAAAGGGAGAGCAGAAAGGTTTTGTTGTGCCAATATCCATTTCTCAGTGGATGTCCCAGGTGATCTTCCACAGATCATCTCTTTTTCTTTCAAACTGCTGACCAGGAACACAGGTGTGTGTACTTGGTCCCAGTAGCTAACCTCTGTCTGAACATAGTGTTCCACAGCCCATGGACAAGACTTGTAAGGGAGCTCAGAGTTAGATGTTGTAATGGTTGTACCCTTAATAAGGTCATGTTCACAAAAATCTCTGTTCCCATTGAGCATCCTAAGTACAGATTTGTTTCCAAACTGTCTCACTATTTTGTAGGTACTTTATGAGTTAAGCATAGTTGAAAATATGTCCCTTGGAAATAATAATCATAACCCATGGTTATAATAGTTTTCTAAGGCAGTGATTTTTCTTAGTATTCCCCAATGTTGCTTCATTCTATCCACTATATCTTTGTTTTAATGTTCAGCTTAAAAAACTTCCTATACTTAAACAGATTTTTAGCATAATTTAGGGACATCTCTGAAAGGAAACAGCTAAAGACCAAACACTACAGAATCAGGACCATAAAAGACATGCTATTGACTAAGACAAGTAAAGATAGAGGCCTTTAGACAATATAGTACGGATGCCCCCTCCCTGGAAGTGTTGAAGGCCAGGCTGGATGAGGCTTTGAGCAACCTGGTCTAGTGGAAGGTGTCCCTGCTGATGACAGGGGGGTTGGGACTGGATGATCTTTAAGGTCCCTTCCAACCCAAACCATTCTATGATTCTGTGATAGTATATAAGCACAAATGCAACTTTAAATATATAGTGATTCCACAAAAGAAAAGGAGCAATCCACATAAAGTTAAGCACTTGTCTAAGTGCTTTCCTGTAATAAACCCAGAATTTGAAACAGATATGTGTCCTAAATCCACACCCACACATGCACCATCTCTTAAAATAATATATACTGTCTTTATTTGAAATTAGATGGGTGAAGGAGAAAATTCCAGCCCCTGCAGATCTAAACTGCAAATCTTACCCTCGTAGATGTATGAACTTCCATGTAGAGAGTGCTGTGTTTTCACATTGCATCTCGTTTGTAAAATTATATTTTTCTGAACAGAAATGTTAATTTTTTCTCACTGTTGGCATACCACTAGGAATGAATGCAAACCAATGTCTTAGATGTAAGTGTGGTGGAAGCAATATTTTTTTCCTGAGGCTGCCTTTTGACATCAGTGTTTGTTACTAACTGGGGAAAATTCACCTCCTCCTGTACAAGTACATTGATGCTGGTCATAGTATCTTTGACAAATCTATCAAGCATTTACTGGAGTATTGTGTCACTAATCCTTTGGCATTTGGCTTCGTTTTAGGTACTCCAAATGTTGTTACAGTCGATGGAAGCAAGACAAGGACCAAGCTGGCTAAATTAATCCCAGGTGTAGACTACAACGTTAGTATCATCTCTGTGAAAGGCTTTGAAGAAAGTGAACCCATCTCTGGCACTCTGAAAACAGGTAATATAGAAAGAGGAAAGAGCAGGTTTTCAAATGCATTGTCTGTGCTGTAGGAGACATTTAGGAACTGGAGCTGAAGACCCACTGAGATCCCATTTTTGCTGTCTGCACAAACAGTAGGAAGTTTTTTGCCAGCTCTTTCTTTTTGTCTTTGTATTTCAGATAAGTGTAGAATTTCTGAATTTGATCAGACTCCCATTTGCTATGTGCTGAACCAGCTTGCAGTGAGACAGAGACAATTCATGTATTTACAGTCCTACTACATCAGAAAAAACCCCAGAAGTTTAATTAATGCCATTTTACAGATGAGGGAGCAAAATGTCAGCTCAGCTGAACAGTTCAGTTTCTGTTGTGGACTCAAGCTCCACATCTCCTAGGTTCCTGACTGTGTTCTAAGCATAAAAACATTCTCTCTCCTGATTTTTCTTCAATACAGCTTTAAATATCCCTGCAGGAAATGAGGGTCCAGTATGATCCCACTGACCCCACCCTGCAGTCTCATTCATTCATTCCTTTTTTTGTGGGCTAACAAATATTCAGAGAGCTGAGGCAAGGAACTAGATCACAGAATGTTAGGGATTGGAAGGGACCTCGAAAGATCATCTAATCCAATCCCCCTGCCAGAGCAGGAACACCTAGATTATGAATATTGGATAATAACATTAATTTTGTAGCCCATTCCAGATGTACTAGAAGCAGATATCTATCCCAGTTCAGGGAGAGCATAAAACTATGTGCCAAACAGAGTCTCATGAGGAAGCAAGGCAGGACGTTGGATGGTTGGCTGGCTGTTTGATTGATTTATTTTTAAACATGCAGGGCATGCTGGTAGAAGGTCACAGTGGCTATCAGTTGCCATCACATTGGTTATTTTTCCCCAGCTCTGTCTCCTGTGTTTGTTCTAAAAAAGCAGTCCAGATTTGAGGGTGTTGAGAGAAATATGTCAGCTCTGACAGAGCTGTTAAGATTGATGATATCAAGATTGATGTGAGAATATAGTTAGTTATGTCTGTTCCCAGTGTTTAATCTTTTCATGCATTGACCTCCCTTTCCAGTGGAGACATTTGATTTCTCTTTATAGCCACTGACGTCTTTTCTGCAGAGCTCCACTATTCCAAAGGGAATCATAAAAGCTGCATCAAGCAGCAGTGTTTGTGCATTTTAGATCATATATTTACAACAGAGCATTGCACACAGAGCCAAGAATGTTTGTCAAGTTCCTTTAATCTGTTATTCTCTTTCTTTCAGCTCTGGACAGCCCATCAGGCCTAGTAGTGGTGAACATCACAGATTCTGAGGCTCTGGCAACCTGGCAGCCAGCAATTGCTGCTGTGGATAATTATGTTGTCTCCTATGCTTCTGAGGATGGTAAGAAGAGTTAGTGATGGGTCAGGGAGCTGACAGCATCGCAGCTCTTGAGAGAGGCTCAGAAATGGGTGCAGCAGGGTGACTCCAGGAGGATGGCAGGGGACTCTTATGTGAAGGAGATGCCTTGCTGGAAGCATTTTAAAAATGATCATTTTATTTAAGCCTTCCCAATTCAGACAGGAATAGAGATAACTGATATTCTTGAGAAGAAAAGCTGGTGTTATAATTCATATGAACACTAGAGAGTGCTAATACTTTTAGATAAAGGATGCTGGTGTTAATTCAGATTCAGTGTAGGTGTAAGCAGAGAGATGGGCTCTGGGCTTTTCCTATTTTGTGCTTGCTCCCAGCTAGTAAAATAAATAAGTAAATAAATCACTGAATGGAGCATGGAATTGAGTACATCGTGACATGTCTGAATAACACCAGGACCTGTTCTCTTCTGTGTCTTCTTCTTAGAACCAGAAGTTACTCAGATGGTATCAGGAAACACTGTGGAGTATGACCTGAAGGGTCTTCAACCTGCAACTGAGTATACACTGAGTGTCCATGCACTGAAGGACATGCAGAAGAGTGAGACCCTCTCCACCCAGTTTACTACAGGTATTATGTCCCACCTCACTGTGGGGAGAGCTGCCATCTCTTCTAGTCCTGCCTGGTTTCCATTTCTCTAATAGCATTGTCAGACAGCACATTGTAGGGGTTTTTTTTAACTAGAAACCTGAATTTTGATAGTATTTGTACCAGATTTTCTCTGATGGAAGGCTAGTGTGACTGATCCAGAAGGTGGTTTTCTATCACCAATTCTACAGATTCTCACACAAAACAGGAGCAGGAGGACTGATGTTGGGCTACCATTGCTGGAGGTATCCAGTTGGTTTCATACTTATGGCTTTCCATGAGCACCAATGAAATCATGGACATTTCTAATTTTCTTGACTGTTATTTGACTTTTCCCGTGGTGTTAACTAGAGAACCAAGAGCTGAGTCATACAAATTCAGTGTTATAATTACAGTGGAGAAGGAAAGCTGTAGCCAGATCAAGTATGAAAAAGATTTCGTATTTGAAAAAGGCATCATTGGAACCAAAGTAGTTTTTCTTTCTGGGAATATATAAATCTGGCTTCTTGTGTGAAATAATAGAAGGGACAAATTTGTTTCAAAAGACATTTCAGTGCAATGGCTTATAAACCAAAGTGCCTGAGACAAGACAGTATTTTAACTTTTATATAAATACACAGAATCACCAAAAGGTAGGGATTGGAAGGGACCTCTGGAGATCATCTAGTCCAACCCCCCCACCAAAGCAGGTTCACCTAGAGCAAGTTTTAAAACTTCCAATGGGAAAATTAAATTTTAATCATAAAATTTAGGTTGAAATCTTTTTTAGTTCCAAATTTCTGGGGAGAAAAAGTTTGCTTTCCTGACCTGTTTTTATATACTGCCTCTAAGACAGTCTGTGTACTAAATTCCCTGTAGATGTTATTGTAATTGATCTGTTGTCTCCTTCAGGACTGGATGCTCCGAGAGATTTAAGTGCCACTGAGGTTCAGTCAGAAACAGCTATGATAACTTGGAGACCTCCACGTGCTCCTGTCACTGGTTATCTCCTGATCTATGAGTCCATCGATGGCAGAGTCAAGGTATAACACTTGTAAGCAAACCAGAAGGGTTGTGCCTCAAAACTGGGCAGTAGAGATGCTCTGAAGTGTCCAGCAATGGGTCATAATCATGTGCCTTAAGTTAAATATAGTAAAATGCTAAATGCACTAAAACCACCAATCCATTTAAAATCTGCTTCAGTATTTTCCTGTATTATATCCTGAATTTTGACAGTCAGCTCTCCACAATATGGATTAAAGCACAAGCAACCATTATCCCTCATTCCAAACCTGTATCATGGAATAAACTCACACACCCCAAAGAATGGGGTTCCCCTTTCTAAACTCAGGAGAATCCACTCCTGTGCAAATAAGGTGCCTAAAGCAGGATGAATCGCCTTTGAAAGTACCTCTTGCTCTCCAATAATTTTATTATGTTCCTCCATAACTAGATTACATTAGATGCTGAAATATGAATGAGGGTAATCCCAGAAAAAAATTACAGATAATTTTGGATTTCCAACCTGGTAGATTAGAAAAGTTTCTGATTTTCAAGAAGGCAAATTCTGTAAGGATACTGAAATTCAGTCTTTCAAAGTTACTGAAAAACAGCCTTTTGAAGGTTGGAGTATGATATTTCCTTGCCCTAAAGGGTGATTCTTCTTAATTTTTTATGAGTTTCACAGAGACATCTATACATTGTGTACACTCAAGGTATTGCTGACTTGATTTTAAATCACACATTAGACATTTTGATGGTAAATATTCATTTCCAGGCAACTTTTCTCGAACTTCTAAAGAAAGTTAGCTTGATAAAAATCTTAGAGGAATACAAGTTTTGTATTAAATAACTTAAATGTTTAAAAATACCATAAATAATTATCCCCCCAAAAAAATTAAAAAGTGATAAATTAAAATATGTAACAGTTCCCATCATTAAGATTTTCTCACTGAGATTTCCCTGTATTATTTCTCCTCTCCATAGGAAGTCATCCTAAACCCTGAGACAACTTCCTACAGCCTGGCAGAGCTGAACCCATCTACCCAGTACACGGTGAAACTCCAGGCGCTGAACGGATCCCTGAAGAGTAAAACGATCCAGACTATTTTCACCACAAGTAAGGACACACTTTAGAGCACATGCATCGCTGAAGTAACATAAAAGTTACTGCTCTCAGGACAGAGCTGAGCTCTGTAATAAGCAGACACAGATCTCGTAGAAGATTTTTAATCCAGTTGTCAGTAGGCACTTCATTTGCTGGTGGAGTCAGTGCAAAAGTCCCTGTTCCCCCTGAGCTGTAGCATCATCTGCGTTCCCCAGACTGGAAGGTTGCAATTTTTTTTTTCATATCCATCCACATTACCTCTCTAGTCTCCTCTCTCATGAAACATCCTGTGTAAAATAACAAAAGGACCATTTCTCTTTAAAATCCAAACTGACACCCTGATTTACCTCTGTATTGATCCATAGCAAGCTGTTAAAACAAATCAGCATTTTAAGCTGAATAGGAGCAAACCCCACACATACATACAAAGCAGTTCAGTGGTGCGAGGAGATGAATTTCTGGGCAGGTTTTTTTTTTTCCTCCTCTTTCTGAGATCAGTTTTTACAGAGCCACGTGCATGTCTGTTCTGGCTCTAACAGGACAGCTCTCCAGTGAGTTGAATGCAGGAATAGATTGGGTTCTCTGAAGGTCACTTCACAGCTGACATTAAAAAAAAAAATAATAAAAAATAAAAAAAAATTGTTGTTCAATATTAACTGTGAAACCATTCCTGCCATTTGTCTCTCTTTTCATGGTTTCCAGCCTTTCAGACCCAGTAGGACCTTCAGCCATTTCCATCCTCCCTTCTGCTGCCTGTACCAACTTCAGCCCAAGGACTCACAAAAGTGCTATTATCAGTCACACAGCCCCGAGTTTGCTCACAGTCACTCCTTGTATAGAGCAGGATTGAACCCCACCAACAGGCAACAATCCACAACTAGAAACAGGAGAAGCCTTCAATCTGGGTGTATTTGTGATGTTTGGCAAATTTACCATGTGCAGGGATTGAATGAGGTGACTTCACCCATATGAACGCAGTGTCAGCCTCTTCAGGCAGATGCTTAAGCCTGGCCTTAATTCTAAATCTACATTTGTGAGCTGTTTAGTGAGAGGGAACCACTGAAGTAGCTCCCTGCAGACAGCTGCTTTTCTGCAAATCCCAAAGCTGCTGCCAATTCTCTGTAGCTGAGGCACAGGCAGGGATGTGGAACACAGTGGAAAGGGACCAACAGCTCCACAGTTAAAATATCTCCTATGGACACACCTAGAACAGCAATTAATTAGACCATTGGTTGAAAAAGTGAATGGCCTAAGTGAATTCAAAAAGGAAAAAGGAAAAGGTTTCTCGGGGGTTAGAAATTGTTCTGACTGTGACAATTCTGTTAGCTTGTTGTCATAAAGAAATGCTTAATGATATTTCCCTCTGGTTTCAACTGTTAACTGTTTGCTTTGTTTTTTAGAAGCCTAGTTTTATAACATATTGTACTTGTTAGCAAAATATTCCTCATTTATTTATTTTTAGTTTTAGTCCTTTTCTGTCACATAATCAGAGATTGGTAGATTTGGTTTTACCCAGAAGTTGCTGTAAGCACAGCTCATGCCATTTAAATATTTAGCTGGAGGATGCACTCCCATCATAGCAAGGAGTAGTTACCTGACATTCACAGCACTTCCAAAAGTGTAGACAGATATGAAAAAGCATAATCAAAAGAAAAACTGACATCATCTGCTGGTTATTGTGAATCTTTTTTATATAGGATAGCAATTCCAGCCCGTTCCTGGGCTCTGTACCTGGCTGTGCAATTGACCCACAACAGATTTTTCATGAGTCATCTCTATTTTATGAGTTCCTTGTAATTGCTGATTTTTTAAGGACTGCTTTCTCTTTTTTTGTGTGTGTGCAGCTGGTCTTCTCTACCCTTACCCTAAAGACTGCTCCCAGGCTCTCCTGAATGGAGAAACCACCTCTGGGCTCTACACAATTTACCTGAATGGGGACAAGGCTCAGCCTCTGCAAGTCTTCTGCGACATGGGAGAGGATGGAGGCGGATGGATTGTGAGTAAGGGGGAGAGGACCCACAGCATCCTCATGTGTCTGTGCTGGGAGTAGGGGTAGCAGATTCCATCCCTGCTGTCTATGGCATTCCTCGTAGTATTTTGTTATCAGAGTAGGGCTGACTTGTCTATAAATTTGAGGAATTTTATCTCTGTGGGACACCTAGGTGACTAGAACAGTTACCAGCCCTTTCTATACTTGGAGGAGAGAAGTGTCCCCAAATGATGGGTCACATCAGTGGTTTCAGCACCTAGGAAAAGCACTGATCTCTCTCCAGTGGCTATAAAGGGTGCTGCAGTGACTGTCTTAGATCAGGTACATACCTTCTGAATAGTTCATTAGATGAGAGGAGGGTGGACTGACTCTATTTGAATGAGAAAGACAGTGAAGGAGTTTAAAGCGCAGACCAGAGAAAGCATTTGTTCAGCAGCCACATGGCTTGGTGGCTGGCTGGGCTTCCCAGGCCATTATACAAGGGACACATCCCACCCAGACAACAGATGGATCCAAGTAAAATGCCAGCTCTCCATACTGATGTCCTCAAGTGTGTATGTGTCTAAGGGAACCAGGGCTCAGAAAGGGAGAAGGAGCTGGAGAAATGCATGGCTAGGAGACTAAAAGATGTATAAACTGTTGGCTGAGAAATATAGAACAGCAATGGGCTGTTAAAAAAGCAGAAAACAGGAACTAAAAGGCCACATCACTCAGGGGAGCCTGGGAACCCAGTAGATAAACTGGAGAGCAAGGAGCATTCAACAGACTTGGTACAATTCAGTAACTGCAATGAGGTTGCTGCTTTGGGTGGTAAGGGCAAGGGAGCATCAATGCCAACCTCTGCATCTTGAAAAAACCACATTGCTAGTGCCCTTTCTGTCAAAGACAGTCTGTCCATAACAGTTCTTGCACGTCATTGTTGCAGGTGTTCCTGAGGCGTCAAAATGGAAAAGAAGATTTCTATAAGAACTGGAAGACGTATGTAGCTGGTTTTGGAGATCCTAAGGATGAATTCTGGATAGGTAAATGGCAAGAACTTGTCTTTTTTAAAAAAAGAAAACACAAAGCCCAAAAGACTAGGAGCCATTTTGAAGCTTCCATTTAGTTGGTAAGAGTCTCTGTAAATGGGGACATAATCCGCGTGAAGGAGGCTAGGGACAGCATGCTGCAAGGGAGTTTGAAATTGCCAGGTCCAAGTCAGTCCCCCCCCAGTTGCAGTTCATAGATATCACGCTTCTTGGGTCACCTGAAGTGGCAACCTGAAAAGCAACTGGAAACCACCTTATTCCTGTACTCCTAGGACACCCCCAGCAACAAGAGTGGGGAATATAGAAGTAAAAAGGAAACTTTCAAAGATGGCACTGCATTTTATTTGGTTGTGGATGAAAAACAGTGATGATCACACAGCACAACTTTGCTTACTTTTTCCAAGAGGCCACCTGCTACTGTGCTTTGAAGGGAAGAGGTCTCTCAACCAACCTGCTTTTATCTATCTGTTTTTGTCCAAACATTACCATCCCGCTGGAATAGCTCACTTCCCTCACCAGTGCTTATGCTCTGGTGTTTTATACAGACCAGTATGACCTTCTGTATGGGATAACATGATGGTAGACAAATAAACATGGGGAGACAAATGGATTGTTCATTTATGTCCACAGGTCTGGAGAACCTCCACAAAATCACATCTCAGGGCCAGTACGAGCTGCGCGTGGATCTGAGGGACAAAGGTGAGACAGCTTATGCTGTCTACGACAGGTTCAGCGTTGGAGATGTGAAGAGCAGATACCGGTTAAGAGTGGATGGGTACAGTGGCACAGCAGGTGAGATGAAATATTTTATTTTCTTCTGATTTGCAATTTCCTCCCAGTTGGCTCAAGGTAACTGTGTGTGAATGTTGCAGATCATCATCGCAGCAGGTACCCCTTGTATGTCAGGCATTGGAAAATATGAACATACCAATATATTTTATGTTTCCATTTTAAATCCTCCAGTCATTTAGGTGCTACATTTTATGGCATTCTTATGACAGAATATAAACAAGTATATTAAACAGCCACATATCTCATCTGGCCAATGCTTGACTGTCATTTATACAGCTAATAATAGCTCAGCACAGCCTCATTTCTTGTCGGTGGAATAGGCATCAGAGTGCTGCTATCACATAATTTGTAATGTTGCTGAACAAATCATCTGCCTTTTGTAATCATACTGGGGCAAACCCTGCAGCCCTTATTGAGTCCTCTTCAGGGCTTCAACAGATGAAAGAGATAAACAGATAAATCCAGCTCCACGGGATGTCTTAAAAGGAGATATTTTTTTGCTGGTACATAAAACAGATCACAGAGATGTGTATATACAGACTCTGCTCTGTGACCATCACATGAACTTTATGCACAGTTGATAGGGCTCAGGACAAAGGAGAGATGCAGCAGTAGTAGAATTAATGTCTATTTAAGGCAAACACACTGATGTAGAGCAGTAGCAGCTGCTACAGCTAGTAGGATTCAATCCTACTACTTCCTCTTCCTAAGCATTCAAGTCTAGGATTAATGGATGGAGCAACCCAGATGGTGAGGCATGAATGTGAGCTCAGCTTCAGGCATGCACTGGAGGCTGCTCCTATTGCACCCAGACCCTGGGAGAGGGACGTCAGCAGTAGATAGACATCTCTGTGTGGCTGTGTTTGCAGCTAATGAAGATGGGCAGCTTTCCTGCATGGATCAGTTAAGTGTGAAGACTCCTTTGGTCTTCACTCACTCCCTGTGGAGATCCCTTTGGACTTGGTTTGTCCACGCTGCCTTCTGTACAGGGCCAAAATCCAGCTTTCAGCAAGAAGTGCAGAAATTGAGCTGCATGAAAAACCACTGACTAAGTTGGGAATTACAGACCACCTGGAAAAACATTTTGACTTGCCTCCAAACAACAAAAAACTGTGTATTTCCTTCTGTAGTACAAGAAGTTAAATATTAAAAAACTTTAACCACAGGCAGGTTTTACAGACAGTGACTGGCACAGTACAAAGAGTTTCTGCAGAATCTAAACTAGACAAACCACTAACTTGGCTCTTTTGTTTGTCTCTCCCATCCAGGTGACTCCATGATGTACCATAATGGAAGGTCCTTCTCCACCTTTGACAAGGACAACGATTCTGCCATCACCAACTGTGCTTTGTCATACAAGGGTGCATTCTGGTACAAGAATTGTCACCGAGTCAATCTGATGGGCAGATATGGTGACAACAGTCACAGTCAGGTGAGCTTGGTGTTTGAAGGCTTCTGTAATACATTAAAAGGGGAACTGCAATTCTGAATCTGTCTGGTGGTTCAGCTACCCAGACAACAGAGCACCAGCCAAGCTCACTTTCCAAACCAAAGGATCATGGGGAAAGATATGGGCAGTTGCTCACAGAACAAGAATTTAATGTCAGCTAGTGAAATATTGATGATTTCGTATCATTTTCCAAGGGAATATCCCAAGTGTGCAGGGGATGATGTTAGTTTTCAACACATGAAACAAAATGTTCTTCCCACCATGAAAGCCAGGCAAAGATTGGCAGCTCTAGGGGACAGCAGGTGGGTCTTGTACGGGGTGTGTGTGCCAGTGGCCAGAGCTCTCTGCTTCCCAGAGCCCCTCTACTTTCTCTTGCCTCTCTTCCCAGGTTAGAAAACAGCCTGCAAGCTGAAACAAGAGCAGTAAGGTCTGACAACAGAAGAACTGGATGTATGACCTCCCACATTTCATCTTTATCTTTGCAGGGTGTTAACTGGTTCCACTGGAAGGGCCACGAATATTCCATCCAGTTTGCAGAGATGAAGCTGAGACCCTCCAGCTTCCGAAATCTGGAAGGAAGACGAAAGCGAGCGTAAAGCCCCAGAGGTGGTGAAGGGGCTGAGGGGAGG